GTTTTAAATTTAGTATACTATTGTTGCTTCACTTTTTATTTGAGCATAAGCCATAAAATATTTTAAAATTAAAAGTTCTTTTGATATATATTAATCAGTTATATATTTATAGATGCTTATTTAAATAATTTTTTTCTTGGTAAGCATAACTCACTCTTGAAAGTCAGAGTGAGTTATGCTTACAAAGAAAAAAGTTATCAATTGGAGATATTTTCAAGATTGTCCTATGATATTATTTAGAATTTCAATTAAATTTTAGTTGCATTGAAAGATGAAGTGACAGTTTGTGGAAAGTATCAATCATCTAGAGATACTACTGTAAGGGTTCCCTTCATTATAGCATCGTCTCACAGGAAACCACTGCATGGTCCAGAAATCATTCACAAAATGACAGCACAATAGTCCTGATATTTACTCAAAGATTCAGATCTCTGATTATAAGTTGGATAATGCCAAAACCCATAAAATATCTACCTCCAGTACCGTTAATGAAAGGACAAATAACCCAGGAAAGCAGATACAGGCGTGATACTTCAAATGTACATATTTCGTGTGCCCAGAAGTCAGAGCAACACAACTGCTCCTTGGGTCAGCAACATCATACCAGCCAAGGGTACCAAGGCAAGCTCAATCATATACATGAGGACTAAAAGACCCACTGAGAGAAGCGGGTAACAAAGTTTGCTTGGAGTGTGTGTGCATCCCCTACCTCTATTTGATTTAGTATCAGAAAGATAGTCACTAGGGTGGGGACATGCATAGGTAAGTTATCTATTCTGCTTTTTTTTTTCTTTTTTTTTTTTAAAGAAACAGGAAGTTTAGACTTAGAATTACAACTAATCCTGTCAAAGTCACCAGGTAGGCGTTGGCAGTTGGTTAGCAAATTCATTAGAACCAGCTGGCCAACAGGGCTAGGAGTAGGATTATGGATCCATTAGTGAATTAAAGCATTGGTTCAATTCGCTAGTTTCATTTCAGAATTACCTGTAGGTTACCCACATTGATATACACCTGAGGAAGGCTAGGGGACACAATGGCCAAAATGTTGTGATAACAACAAAGATGAGGATAATAGTTCAAATATAAACAGTGTAAATAATGATAACTCTTCATCCCAGAAATTCAGTCAAAAAATATTCTATTATAGTATTATACAAATATTTGATTTTGCTTAGGAATTGCATTTAAAGAATCCAAATCAATATATATGTATCTGAAAGTAATGAGAATGAAAATAATATATAAATTCTAACATTCACAGCATTAATTCAAAATAAGGCTCAATATCGATAGTAGAGCAATAATTATTTATTCACCAGTCGAGGTGCAACTAAATGCACTGAAACAAGGTTGCATCTTTGTAGTGAGTAAATTGTTTTTGTCTATATGAAAAAATTATAATAAATAAGATATATATATATATCAAAGGTAAGAAATTATAGTTGTTCCAACGAGAGAAAAGTGTATATATTAAAAAGAAGAGAGAAACTGCAAAGTGAGTGGTTTATGATCAGTAAATGCCATGAATTCAAGTCCCTCTAGAATATAATGGAAATGTCAAACAGCTAAATAGGGAGAAGTTCTCATGAAAATGTGTTGTATTTCATCTGTGAGGAATTTAGCTTGCGAGAGAAGAAGGGTATAGGTTTGTCTTCTCCATTAATATTTTTCTGTAAAATGGAAACAACAGTGTTTGATGTGGCATCTATTGTTAAAGGTAACATTGCATTTTCATCATCACTTAGGGAATTTAGTTTTACGAAGTTCACGTAGGCTTTCTTTGCTTTGTGAAAAGCATCTAAAGCAGGTTCTTAGAATAAAACTTTTGCATTCTTTTTTCTGAGTGCTTTTTAATATGTCTGTCAGTAGGTCTAACTTTGATGAACAGTGTGGCAAAAATCTTTGACAGTAATCTATCATGTTGATAAACCTTCGAAGTTTACAAGTTGACTCTGGTTGTGGGAAATTTTTTTTATAACAGCTATCTTCTCAGGTAAAGGTGATATTCCTGTTTTATCTGTTGTGTGTCCTAAAATTGAAAGGTTTTTTTGTTTTTTTTTTACACCAAATTTGCATTTATTGACATTAATTTTCAGTCCAAATTGCTGCAGGCATTCAAAAAAAAAATTGGAGATGTTCCATGTGTTCATTCATATTTCTACTTATTATTAATACATCGTGATGAATTTGAATAAACTGAAAGGGGTGATGATAGCAGTCTTTGGTATATCACTTTCTTCAATGGGGTTTTGGTAGTTTATTGTCCTACTTCAATTTAATAATATTTTATCTGTGATCTAACTAATTTCATTAGTTAAAAAAGATTCTAATACATTTCTTACATAACATTACTGCAATCAACAAAATCTGTAAAACAAAGCAAAACACAGAGCCTTGATATTTCTCTGACTCCTGATTGGTCAATTAATCCTAATATCATGTTTACCACTACATCTGCACAATTAAAATTAATTTACCACCAAAAAATCTGTCTATGTGTTTCAAGCCTATCACATGACATACAACATTATAAATAGCAAACAACATTTTCAACTCTTCCTCTTTTGTCTTCTCTTCCACACACAAGATGTAATGTTAGAGAGATTATGTTTGTCCCTAAAGTGCAAACGCTATGACACGCACACACATATATACAAACATTGAACATCACTGAACTCATCTCATTCACTCCTTACACAGAAACTTATTCAACTATTAACAGTGAGCTTTGCAGCATCAAATAATTTGCTAAACAAATTCACGTTGTTCAAATCTTTGAAGTTTCTAAGTTGGATTTCCTAACATAATCCCAAACTTCGAATTCACTCACCAACAAACTACATTTCAAATTTAACATCTACGATTTTTATTGAGACAACAAGAATTCTACTCAAAGAACATACCATTTGCCAAACAAACATTTTAATCAAAAAGCAACTTTGAACATAACCTAATGCAAACTTACTTCAAGTCAACAATCTTACAACCAAAAGATTCTTGATGTTTAATGCACAGTTTACTCAAAAGTCATAAGCTTAAAAGTTTATCATTTAAACACAAAATTCAACTTTTGATATCAACCAACATTTCATTCACCAATTTCAATTACAACAAACTTTCCTGGAAGAACATAACTTACTTTCTTCAAAGGACTTTTTACTCATTTGTTGAATCAACTTTATTCACGTAATATTTAAACTTTCAATCTTTTTGTTTCATTAATAAAAAGTATATATTCAATATTCAGCAGGTAAAGGGCGACAACTCTTACCTTAATCTCTAATATCAAACTATATTAATTGGAACTGATTAATTCTTTGAAAATCCTTTTACTAAACAAACTCTCTATTTGACCTAAAGAACATTCTCCTTATCATGTTGTATATATTTGTTATGTAAATGCTTTATTCTTGCTTTTCTAAAAAGGAATATTGTTTATTTTGTATTTTGTCATTGATAACCTTGTACCATATGCAAAGTTAAATGTTTGTGGCGAAGTTTATTTTCATGCAGCCAGCACAAATAATACCTTCTGATATGTACATAAATTTCCTTATGACCATGCCTCTGCAACAATAGTACGCCTTCATTAAGTCAAGTCTGGTGAGAATTTTCATACCCTGTAATCTCACCACAAAATCATGTATATTTTGCGAGATTCATTCACATCATTGCAGCAGAAATTAGCTTTGTGTTTACGGAGATAAAAGCATACTTGACAAAAAATAAAATGTACACAAAATAACAGGAAAAGCATGGTAAATTGTATGTTAATTTCATACAATTTATTTACATTTTTGTGTGTATTTTTTAGGTTACAATTGCTTTATGGTGCATGTGATAAAAGGGAGAAATTTACTCCATAGTATTACAAGCTATATCACAGTGAGAAGTCGGACACATGTTGCCAGTACCAAGGTTCTTGCTGAAGAGATTGAATTTAACGACTTCTGGCAGGATGTCCATATTTTCGGCAGGAACAGTTTTTGTTGTATGCTGGGAGTATTTTTATTATTTTTAATTTTTTGTTTAATTTATACGACATTTTTATGTTGTTGTTTTATACAATTTTATTTATCATTTTCATTTTTATTATTTATTTATAATAATAATAATAATATTCCTATAATATGCAGGATAGGATAGCAATCCCGGACTGTTAACGCGTTTAGTCGTCAGAAATTGCTATATGAACGCCAGGCAAAAGAATCTGCTTTCGGTACCATGTGCAGCGGAGGGATGGCCACTGGCTCTTGGAAGGCTGAATTATTCCTCGGTGCAGCATGTGCTGAAGTTCTTCTTTTGCCATCTTGTATTTTGCTGGGCTGAGTCTCCACATGGTAGAATTGGTTCGTTGTTCCCTTGTTTGAATGTGGTGTTTAGTAGTATGTAGTACTGTGTCAGTATGTTTGAATGGGGGTTGTAATCCCTGACAAATTTACAAAGAATTTTGTGAAAAATCTTGTCCAGGAAGTGCTGAGCTGATACCTGTTGAAAGACATCAAGGAGTTCCACTGATTTTAAATGAAAGGATAATTTGTATTTTTATAATTTTTTTAGTATAAAATAATATCCAGTGTGCTTGCTATGTGTTTTTAGTTTAATTTTTATTTTGAGTTTTTTTTTGACACTGCTTACTGGTCCACTAATAAAAAAAGGGATTTTTGTGGAAATAATTTTTGTATATTAGTATTCTTTTTAGTTAGACCTCACTTACGCCGCAACAATTGACAGAATCGAAAAATAGCGATTTAGTTAGTGTGTGACACAAGAGCGAAAGTATGGAGCACTCAGGAAATATCGACTTATCTACTCAGTCGTAATTTATCTAGTTACTATTACAACAGGTCGAAATGCTCCTTAATTTTAAAGATATAAAAATTTAAATATAAATTTATAATGAAAAAGAAAAATCATAAAAAAAGCAAACGCAAAGAGCATGACAAGTTTTCTGAAATGAAACGAGCTTTATTCGTTATTCTGATTGTCGAAACAGCAACATGAAGTGGGGAATCTGTGGTGCTGGTAATATTTGTAATGATTTTTGCAGTGCTTTACAATTATTAAATCATGATGATCATCAGGTGAGTCAAATATTGCTTTATTTAACAAAAAATAAAAATAAAAAAATAAACCCGAAAGTTTAAAGTCTTTATTTTATAGTCAAATTTAAAAAAAAAAAAAATATGTTCTGTTACTAGTTGAGTCGCTCGTTCAGTATTTTATTTTTGTGGTTTAGCCACCTTAAATTTACTTTTTTACATTTAAATGAAGGGATAATTTCTAATTTTTATAATTTTTTTAAAGTAATATCTAGTGCGCGCTACTTATAGTTTTAATTTTTGGCACTTGTTAAAATATTTGGTCCTGTTCCTGGTCCACTCATTTAAAAAAATAAGGAAATTTGTTTTTATGAAATAAATTTTATAGATTAGCATTTTTTAGTTCGACCTTTCCTTACGCAGTGATACATGTCAGAATAAAAAAACATAGTGACACAAGGCTGAAAGTATGGAGCACCTAGTAAGGATCGATCAAACAACTAAGTCATAAAAATAAAATGTAACGTAATTTATCTGGTTTGCTAACCATCATTTATTTACACCACGTCGAAGTGGTCCTTAATTTAAAAATATTTATCGATTTAGGATGAGATTAAGAGGTCCTGTTTAGTTTTTAAAATATCGGTATGCAGAATTTTGCAATTCCGTGGAGGTAAAATAAATCAACAACGAATTGCTCCCTAACTTTTTAAATTTTCCGTAGAATTAAAAAATAAAACAATAGAATAATTATTTACTTGTTATAAGATGAAAATTATTTTTAAAAATGTTCACCTTTGAAAATGGCATTTTAAACATTATATTTTTCGATTCTTTTTAAAAAAATTAAGTTTATCAGCAACACCCAAGATGTTCATGAATTTACCGAAAAAATGTCATGCTGATTAAAAAATGACCAAGTTTTATCGTCAAAAAGCTTTACGTTATTTTTTAAAGAGGAAAGTATTTCGTTTTTTATTCGAGTTTTTAATCGTTTCATCCTTTTTAAAATATTCGAAATTTTAATTAAAAAAAGGTGTTTTTCTTGCGTCAGCGGATGGACTATAAATAAAATTAGAATTAGCATAGCAAATCTTAGCGCGTTTTTGCAGTGAAAAAAATAAACACATTGATTTGGAAATTCTTGCAAAAATCAAATAATTGTCGGATTTTAATTAAATTTTCAAAACCTATTCACAAATGAATTAAATTATTTAAGAAAAATGTTCTTATTAAGAAAGTCTTGGTTAAAGTATTTTTTTTTTTTTTGCATATGTTATTATATTACTCGCCTTACTTTTAACTTTTTATGAAAATTCGAGAAACTGTAACTTTTTAAAAAATAAAAATATTTGTCAGTTTTTCATAAACATGTATTAGAATTTTTTTCCTTTTCTGTGAAAGCAAAAAGAAATATTTTATTAAAATTAGGTTAGCTACGTGTAATTCAATAACTGACCTAAAAAAATGAAAGTACAGGCCCTATTCTTTTATTTTTTAGGTTTTTTAAAGGAGGTACGCGGAAGGGCGGGGTCTCCTTCGGGGAGGTAAACCGGCCCCTGAACCCGTTTATACGGGTTCAAATGGGCTATTTGGCCGAGGCTCGGGAATGCCCACGTTAAAAAGGCCTTGTGCCACATGACACCCTCGTGGGGGTGACTCAATATCGATGAGTAGTAGTATTGAGTCAGTAGTTCACTTTTTGAACAGACTGCTCGGTTTGAACTCTCTTCCTACGGGCGGGAGGAACCTGAAGGAGGCTACGCCGAAGGGCGGAGTCTCCTTCGGGGAGGTAAGCTGGCCCTGAACCCGTTTATACGGGTTCAAATGGGCTATTTTTGGCCGAGCCTAATGGCTCTGGAATGCCCACGTTAAAAAGGCCTTGTGCCACATGACACCCTCGTGGGGGGGACTCAATATCGATGAGTAGTAGTATTCTTAATTGAATAAACGATTACTAGACAGAATCTCTTGTCCTGTTTTCATTACATTTTATTCAATTAAGAATGGAACAATTTATGCGACCTGAGCGACTTACCACAGATCCAGAAAGCGATTCAGCCGACAAGTGCTAGAAACATTGGCGGGAGACATTTACAAATTTCATCGAGGTTCTACATTCAGAAAGACCGGGACGTCCCATCAATAAGCGTGCGCTCCTAACCAACTACCTGTCTCACACAGTCAACGAAATTATCTCGGATTGCGTTACCTACGAAGAAGCAATCGATGTACTGAACGCTACATACATAAAGCCCCAAAATGAGATATTTTCTAGACACCTACTTGCGACTCACCGACAAGAATCAGGCGAGACATTGGACCATGTCCTTAAGAGCCTTCGGACACTGAGCAAAGATTGCAACTTCTGCCCAATGACGGCATTAGAGGCCCAAGAGCTACACATTTTGGACGCCTTCATTAACGGCTTACGCAATACTCAGATAAGACAACGTCTTCTTGAGAATAAGACCCTTACACTTAGAACAGCTTACGAGCAAACCTATATCTTCGAAAGTGCTATACAGCAGTCTAGTTCTTATTTACAGCCAGACACCGTGGGCGCCGCGTTAAACCCACCTGTTCTTACTGTCCCCCTCATGACGATAGTCCGACGAAGCTTCAAGAACAATCGGTCACTGCCGCTTTAAAAAGGACACTTGCTATTTTGCGGCTTATCTAAACACCTACGAGTCTCATGCCCTGCCAGAGATACTCGTTGTCATAAATGTGGAAAACTTGGTCATTTTTTCAAAGGTATGCAAGTCTTCTAAAACTCTATACAAATCCACTCGTCAAAATACTTCTGCAACTTTAGCCGCCTCCCCGACTGCCTTTCAAAAACTATTGTAAAAGTGAAAATTAACGGGAGGTCTACAAATGCCCTGCTCGATACCGGGAGCTCAGGAAATTTTATCAAAGAAAGCTTGGTAAAAACCAACAAATTGTATTTTGTCCCTCCCCAGCAGAGTAACAATGGCAAACACGTCATTGTCTGCACAAGTAAGTGGTTATTGTTTGGTGGACTTACTATTTAATGACGTCTCCTATAAAACCACTAAATTATCCGTAATGAAAAACCTTTGTTGCGAAATAATACTGGGACACGATTTTTTGCAGCAACACTCACAGGTTGAAATTCCGTTTGGCGGTTCAATGCCCGCATTGAAAATTTGTGGATTGGCGACAGCAAAAATCCAGTACCCGTCACTTTTCGAAAACCTAACTGAAAACTGCAAACCCATAGCAGTGAGAAGCAGACGTTTTTTTTCTTATAATAATAAAAATTCATTGACTCTGAGATAAAAAGACTACTTGAGGAGGGTATAATTGAGCCTAGCAAATCACCCTGGAGGGCTCAGGTAGTTATAACCACTTCTAGCAACCATAAAAAGAGAATGGTTATAGATTACTCCCAAACCATAAATAGATTTACTCTTTTGGACGCCTTCCCACTACCCAGGATAGATGAAATGATAGGCGAAATAGTCAAATATCGTATGTTTAGCACTCTGGGCTTGAAAAGCGCGTACCATCAGATCGCCATTAGACCTAGAGACAAGCCATACACTGCTTTCGAGGCGAACGGTCGACTATATCAATTTCGCAGGATTCCTTTTGGCGTTACGAATGGGGTAGCCAGCTTCCAAAGGATAGTCGACCAAATCATAACGGATGAGAAACGTCAAGATTTGGCCATGTACATCGACAATTTGCGTACATCGACAACGTCACAGTATGTGGCCATAATAGAAAGGAACACGACGAAAATCTCAGACGGTTCATGTCCGCCGTTGATAAATACAACCTTACCCTAAATGACGACAAATGCTCGTTTGGACTGGACAAAATAAACCTACTGGGGTATACCATAAGCAAAGGTTTTATGGCACCGGACGCAGATCGATTGAAACCTTTACTCCAGATGCCTGTCCTCACAACCAGTCTTCCCTTCGACGTGCTATGGGCATGTTTGCTCATTACTCTCAATGGATTGCTTCGTTCTCAGAAAAGATACATCCATTGACACAAGTAGAGACGTTTCCTCTGTCCCATCAAGCCGTTGAGGCATTCTAGGGACTGAAAAGGATATTGCGAAATCTGCAATTACAACAATAGACCAAAATATTCTCCTGGTTGTTGAAACGGATGCGTCAGACTGTGCTATTGCTGCTTCTTTGAAACAAGCTGATCGTCCTGTAGCCTTCTTTTCAAGGACCCTCTCACAGGCTGAACGACGACACCCCGCAATTGAAAAGGAAGCCTACGCCATAGTCGAGGCATTAAGAAAATGGCGACACTACCTGATCGGACGCCACTTTAAACTTATTACTGACCAGAAATCAGTTGCTTTTATGTTCAACTCTAAAACTACGAGTAAAATAAAGAATGAGAAAAATAGCGAGGTGGAGAATTGAGCTATCTTGTTTCTCCTTTGACGTCAGCTACCGACCTGGCAAGGAGAACTTAACAGCTGATACACTGTCAAGAGCATGCTGTACGGCATCAAGCGGGGACGAACTCCGAACGCTACATAACAATCTCTGTCACCCGGGCATTACTCGAATGGTTCATGCTGTGAGGTGTAGAAACTTGCCTTTCTCAGTGGAGGAGGTAAAAAGAATTACAAATTCTTGTCGAACGTGTGCTGAAATAAAGCCTCGGTTTTATAAACCCCAAACTGGCGTTTTAATAAAAGCAACACAACCGTTTGAAAGACTCAGTCTTGATTTTAAAGGACCGCTACCAAGTAAAACAAGGAACAGATATAAACGGTTATCGACGAATATTCACGGTTTCCTTTTGCCTTCCCTTGTTCAGACATATCGGCTGCTGCAATTATACAATGCCTCTGCTCACTGTTCGCCATCTTTGGAGCCCCTGCCTATATACATTCGGACCGAGGGGCTTCTTTCATGTCAGAGCAGCTTCGGCAATTTCTACAGGAACGAGGAGTAGCTATAAGCCGGACAACTCCCTACAACCCTAAGGGTAACGGCCAATGCGAAAGATATAACGGCATTATTTGGAAGACCGTTCAA